TTCTTGCTAGTTGAATGTAATGATCCTTCGCCACAAACAAAGTGAAATAAAGGCCAAATTTGGCTAATTTTTCATGCTAAGGAATGAATTTGTGGCCTTATCCACTTTAAAGAGCAGCAACTTACTAATATCTAAAGTACCTTTTCTTTTCAAAAAAGAAGTCAGCAGTGGATAAATGAATGCTATGTTCTTCACACCCAAGATATTTTGATGGTCTCACATATATTAATGTACTAATAATCTCACATACATTGAATATACACAGCTTCTCTGTCACTCTTAGATCAACCTTATCATATCCAAAGCATATAAATCCTACTAATATTGTAAAAAACATGCTATAATCTAACTGTCTAACATCAACTAAAATAAACCAGATGTATAAAGTGATACAAAGCAAATGCTGGACTGGTCATACAATTAAAATGATAATAGGCATTGAATAATATATAGTATAGATTCAGAGGTAAAAATTAAGGAGATAACTTTGATGTATATCAACAACTCAGTATTCACTGTTTATGCCATGTTTGCATAACATATTCATAACAGCAAGATCATGTTTAAAATGATTTAAAAGAATCCTGAATAGCAAAAATATTATTGTTTACTTTTGTACATATTCACTTTAAAAAGTCTTATGGCCCAACGACCTTGTTAGGTTTAAAACACATTTCTGTTTCTAAGCCAAATAATTCATGTAGGACAAATTAAAGAGAGTATATTCTATTATTCGAGTCTGTTCTTAAAAGCCCCTTACAAGCTAACTCTTGTATCTCTTTCCTTTTAGTCTCTTTTATTTGCACATCTTTTGTACTTACATTCCTTTAAACATTCTTTCCTGATAGCTGATCAATTCACACCAATTCTTTAAATCCCTATTTACATCCCATTATCACAAGAAGCCTTCTCTGATGTGGTCCTGTCCCAATTAAATGGAAATAATCGCTGTGAACTTCCATGGCTTCTGTGTGTCCATCTTTTGGGACAGTGTAGCAAAGCTTCCCTTGACCACGTGCAGAGTCTATGATTTTCTAGAATTCAGGACCACGCTTATGGTTATACTCTGGTTATGATTCATCACAAGGAAAAGATACTAAGTGAAATAAACGAAAGGAAAAGGCACGTGGGGTGAAGTCCAGAGAAATCAGTACCCAATTTCCCAAAAGTTCATCCCAGCAGAGCCACACAGGATGGCCTTAATTTTTGCAGCAATGCATCGGAAAACTTGTGAATTATTTTCTACCAGGGACACTATTACTGACTCATTGCCCAGAGTTGTATGTTTGGGGCTGGTTCTTAAACGTTCCTCTGCCTGGCGTGTACTAATATTCCAGACTCCAGGTGGAGACTACCTGGTTAGGATAAGCCATATTGATTGTAACCTAGGTGCAGAGAGTTGTTCCTAACAGGTAGGTTGATGTTTCATCCCTGGAATCCTAGTTCTCACATGCCAGCAGGGTTCAAACTTGCCAGCAGGCCTTCCTAGCAATGGGAGTTACAGGACTGTTATGTTAGCTCTTTTGGGAATAGGTTCTTATGTAGTTCAACTTTCCACAAGCACACACACACATATGAATGTATGTCTTATATTTCATCTCAAATCTTTCAGAGTAAGCTAATGGGGATTGAGTAGGGACTTTCTTCCCTTACTCCAGTAGTCTAATAATGAAGAAGATTCCAGAAAAAAGACACTCAAGAAGTATGGTGAATTAGTTGCTCTCATTCCATAAGGAATTGCAGGAAGTTAACATGAAAGTAGACCTAACAGGATGGTGGAAGACTTGCTATAAATCCTGTCTTTTGTTCTTTCTGTAATTTTCCATAACAATGCAAAGGGAATAGCACAAACGAGATAAAAGATTAAAAAATCCATTATGCATAGTACTAAGACTAACCCAAGAGAATTTATTATTGTTAAACATAAATATACTTTTTAAGGAAACAGAGATATATAATATCTTTTTCCATCACTAACACCTTCCTTAATCCTGTCTACTCTGTAATTTGTAATGATTCAACTAACATGCATACATTATAGAGCATTTCTTAAATTCACTTGCTTAAAAAAGAGATTGTCTGAGCATTTATGTCACTGAGATATATGTATTAAGAAACTCTTAATTATAATATCTAATGCATGGTGCCAAACAATGTTAGCACTATTCCAAGAGGTAGATGCTGTTATTTATTCTAGTTTTAAAGATAAGGTTATAAAAGAAATAAAAACAATAACTGTTTAAGCATATGCTCTAGTATCCTTCTTCTTAATTACTCCATCACATCCTTGAAAAGTTATCTTTTTTGACATAAATTATTTTGATATTATTAAAGAAAATACTTTGTCCTCTTAATGCTTTCTTCTCCAACACTTTAAAAAGTAAAGAACTTAAATATCTGTAGTTATTCCCACTTCATATTTAGTAGGCTGCAGTTTCAATGAAGATTTTATTACCTAATAATTCAGAAAAAGTAGTGAAGACTCAATGAAGTATTTGGCATTGATGACTGTCATTCTGAACACAAGTAAAAAAAAAAAAGTTATAGCAGCTTAAATAAAATAAACCTATGTGCACTGAAATCTGATCATTCCAACCAGGGTTTGATAGTTCAGTTTTTATGATAATCTAATTAAAGTGGCTGGTTAAGGAAAGAGCCTTTGGGGTAGGGGATATAGCTCAGTGGTACATGCTCCTGCCTTCCTAAGTACAAGGTCCCAAGTTCAATTCCCTGTACCAAGAAAAAAAAAAAAAAAGCATTTCATTCTTCTTAAAATGGAATGCAATTAGTATATGTCAGAACCCATGGAAGGAAAACTACACTTGTGATTTTTTTTTTACTTTTTAAAGACTACATTGAAGACAAGTTATAAACAAGTTATATTTAGTCAAACTCAAGTTTATAGAGAAAATGTAGTTTTGATCTTAGCCCATACATTGTTCATATGATAAGAGTCAGCTGTGTTTAGAAGTTTCTAAGTTTTATTTACTTGACATTCACAGTCAAATTCGGAATGATGACTCTGTCCTGCAGCTATGGCCAAAACTCCTCACTATGAGACTGGGATGAGAAGGATGCAAAAGAATTGTGCTAACTTACAGCTGCTGCAGAAACCTTCCTTTAGTGACTCACCTTATCATTCCCCGTCACAGCGGACATGGATTCTGAGTCTCTCTGAGTTTGCACAAAATCGGGAGGCCACACTGCCTCTCAAATATCTTTGAACAGAGCCAGGTAGAATGTAATTAAAATGTTCAGTCCTATGTTAGCCAGCTTTCTGTTATGTAACAAATACCTGAGCTAGTCAACTTAAAAAGAGCAAAGTTTTGTTTTAATTCATAATTTTGGAGGTTTTAGTGAATGACTGAGAGAGCCTATTGCTTTTATGCCCCTGGTGAGGGGGGAGGGGGCGGTGCAACAAAACTCCCCACCTCGTGGCCAGGGAACAGCAGAGTAGGGAGAAGGACAGAGGATCCTACAGTCTCCTTCATGGCCGTGACCCCAGTGACTTAGGGATCTCCCCTGAGGCCCCACCTCTTAAAGATTCCATTCTTTCCCAATAGCATCTCTCTGGGAACCAAGTCACCAACGTGTGGTGACTTTGGGGACATTTATTGTCCAAACTATAGCAAGTACCAAGAACTGAGACACAATCTTCCCTGAGTCTCTTGCATTTCTGCATGTCTGTTAAGCAAATATGTCGACAGATTTCTGTTTAGGGTATCTTTTAAAGGATGCTTCTATAGTCAGGGGCATAGCAGGGTAGGGGCACAGTCTCCCTGTGGAGAGATGGACAGGTGTCATACTGACTACTATCAGTAACCATCCCAGGGTGTGTACACATGCCACCTGGCCTTTGGCATTGTTCTGTAAGAACCGGGCTCAGGAAACCAGCCTAAGAAAATGTGGACTCTTTGGCAACTATTCCTATTTTTCAATAAATAATAAAGCACTTTGCTTCCAAAAACAAAACAGAACCAAGCATATGTCTCTCCACACTGGAGACTGATCTCGTTTCTGCAATGCCTGAAGTTTACTGCTATTTTGGAGATTCTGGACAAGAAAGATAATGTAAAATCACTCATACAAAGTTAAAGTTACATACGTGGAAGAGGTCCTAGCAAGGGAGAGGCCCTAAAATGCAGGTTCCATTAGTGGTAAATCCACCTTGGTCCTAATTATATATTGGAAAAATCATAATTTTTCATTTTGATGAATGAGTTTAAATTACTTTTCACTTCTTAGGAACCACATCTATAGACTACACAGTACCTCATTTTGGAGAACAATTCTTAAATTTTATTTCACAGACAAGATAAAAATCTATATCATCTTCCTTGAGACATAATCGTTTCAACTCTGGTGTCTTATAGAGAGTCTCAGGAGTATTTTGTTTTATCATCTACTGAGTCTATAATCTAAATATTACCATACTCACGTCTTTGTTTTAAAAAGAATAATAAAAAAAGCAGTAAAAATGATACAGAATTTCAAAAAAAGATTATAGGAAATTAACAGTGGTTATTATATTGCATATCATCATTTTCAAAGTAGTTGCTTGGATTACCAGATACAGGCATTCTGGCAACAATAATAGTTAAACATTAGCCATGTTGAATCCAGAATTCTGAAAGAATAAATTCAAGAGAACTGCACCATAAGTGTTGATAGAGCTTTTATTTGTGTGTGTAATGATTTGATAGTGGTCAAAATGAGAGGAAAAAACATATTTTACACTACAACTCTGAAACCAGTCCATTACCTCTCTTGTATGTAATGCCAAAAGTGAAAAAAATAGTTTAATTTATTTTGTTGCCTAAAATCATGTGTTTTTATCACTGTTAAATCTTGAAGTAGTAAAAGCTACTTAACTATAAATAGTTTGCAAGTTGCATTTATATTGCTCATAGATAAAAATTATAGGTTAAACATTGCACTTATTTATTGAACTCATGAAATGTAGAAATCAATAAACATGAACATGAACATGTTTTACCTACTTTTGAAATGTTACTTGATCGACTAGCAGATCGCCCTGGGGATTTGTCATTCTGAAAAATAAAATTAGAAACATTGATTAAAAGAAAGCATGTCGATATCACTTATCCCTAAGAAAAGAAAGAATAGTATAGGGCAGATAATATGAATATTCTAAATATGGTTTTGATGGACACAGATACTAATTGCTTATAAAGAATGACTTTTAGCCAAAACATTTCAGTTAACAGCTGAGCATTTATTAAGCTAAGAGCCTTTTCTTCAAGGAAATGATTATTTCTCTAGAAAAATTGCGCAATTTCTTTGCAAATAGAAGTAGACAATCAAAGCATAGTTCACTATTTCTTCTTTCACTTTTACAATCCGGAACTTCTGAGTAAAGTGTGATTCACAATGCCAGTAAATGTCCCATGCCAGGTGCATGGTACATGTATCTAATCTATGGTCTTATAAAATACGTGGCGGCTGGGGATTTAGCTAAGTGGCACAGCACCTGCCTGGCAAGCGCAAGGTCATGAGTTCGATTCCCTGTGCTGGAAAAAAAGAAAAACACCAAAAAAAAAAAAACCAACTTATAAAATATGTGTAGTTACTTTATACACTTTTAAAATTTAAAATGTCTGCGTTTTACAGTTTAAAATACTTACTAGACTATAAAGTTTAAATTTTAAACATTCAAAAATGCTTAAAAATGTACACCCATGTTCTTGCCACTTAAAAATTTCTAGTTTAGAAGAAAAAAAGCATATAATTTGTGAGTAATTTTTTTTTTAGAAGAAAAGTCATACAACTTTAAAGCTGAAAGGGACCTGAAGGAGTTGAACTGTGCCGTGTGAAGGTTGGGGACATTCTGCTCCTGGCAGCCGCAGAATCTGAGTCCCGGCCAGCTCAGGGGCTGCTTGCTGTTCCTGTCTGTCTGTTTATCCTTTGTACTTCTCCAATTACTGTTAATGAATAATTGATTGGAAAATCAGAGTATATGAGAATTATGCATGTTCCACTTAGAAGTAGGTCCCAGCGTACCCCTTCAGTAGAGAAAATGATAGTGGAAAAATCAGCTCTGAATATCAAAAGATTTGTACAGGATCTGAATTAACAGTCATTGAAACATTTTAGGAGTGTACACAAAGAAGATTCTGTCTTCTTTTTATTTAACTTCTACAATCAGCCTCAAAGAAGACTTGAGTAGACAACTGGGGCGTATCTCGGCAGAGGTTCCTTTAGAGAATGTAGTTGTTGCAACAACTTATGGGCCTGACATTGCCCTACAAAAACTTCTTGAGTGTTTCAGAAGCTTGCTGACGATGGGATGTGGTGGATGTGTTGCCGTGGAAAAACAATAGCTACGTGTCACTGTGCCGTTCACAGGCTTGCAGATACCCAGCTGGGCAGAACTTTTTCCTTTTCCTACATCCATCTCTTCTGACCACTCCTGCCACTGTGGAACGCGTTATTACAGACCAAGATGACTCACAACGATGCTATTAGTTACACCTCATAACAGGGCTGTGGTGTAGCTGGAGACGAATGTGGGGGTTGCTACCCACAGACATGCTGCCCTGATTAGCTTTCAGCGGTGATGGAGAGGGGCATTTTTCCACTGACATCTCAACTCTTCTTCTAGGGACCAGCTAACAAAATCAATCCATCTTTCCTTCGCAGTGACATTCAGGACTTTGACACATTGCTGTGTGGAACACACATATATAAGCCACATAACATAACAAGTTTGGGGGCTAGATTTGTTATATGGTTTGGTTTTCTATGCTTACCGGGTATTTGAGAATGTGATTAAGGAATGAGAACAGAGTTTCCTAAAGCAAATATCAAGAAAAATAAGAAATTTAATTTGGCATTGGATTATGAATTTTTAAACCAATAGGACTTTGTGGTGCACTGAATTAAAACAAAGGGTCAGATTCCCTTTGCAATTGGGAATGAGCTCATTATAAGGTTTTCATAAGCAGGTAGTTTCCATATTGCTCACCAGCATCCCTCAACCTAATGAGAAGGAAATATCTGTTTGATGTTTTAGCACTTCTTCTTTTTTTTTTTTTTTTTTGTTTGTTGGTTTTTCTCCGGTACCGGGAACCGAACTCACGCCCTTGCGCTTGCCAGGCAGGCGCTTTGCCGCTGAGCTAAATCCCCAGCCCCTCGTTTTAGCACTTCTGAGGGTGTTTTCATGTGAAACCCAGTGGCTCCCTTTCCTCCTAAAAGAAGCTTGGGCACTGAAAGAAATAAATGCCCTTTGGCAGAGTTCAATGTTTCTAGTGACTAAATTTCTTGTTGTTCTATGCTAGCTCACAGAAAAGACAAGGGCGCCAGGTGAGTTAACCCAAGATTATGTGTCCCACTGCTGTGTTAGCATGCATTTAAATACACCATGGTGGATGCTTTAGCATGAGTAGGCAGTCTAACATTCCTGAACCTGAAGTTCATCAATATAAAATGAGAGAGATGATACCTCGAGAACTATAATAAGGACCACATGAGTTATAAATGAAAACATTTCATGCACTGCAAGGTTAAAATATGGCTGCTGCTGTCCACACGTAGAGGAAATACCAGGAGAATTTCCCACAAAATCATGGTGATCTCTGCAGGTTTCTAGAGTCTTCATTTTCACAAAAACATCTCCAGTTCTGTAGTTGGCAATTTTGCCTCTAGTGCGGATTAGATTCTGGCATATAAACTTTGAAAAGGAAAAAAATCAAAATTCTCTATATATTATTTGACTAAGGAAGTAGATATCCCTTGCTTTTGAAGCACAGCGTCAGAAGCGTTTCCCTTCTTGGAAAGCTTCCAAAGCAAGCTGTCCAATGCACTACTAATTAATTGGGTGGCTCGTCCCACTGCCATTGCAAGGTCATATTCTTTTTTTTACAGATTAGTCAATGCAGTTGTCATACTTCATTATTATCACTTTAAATATTGTACCCCAGATTAAATATAAGCATCTCAGAATCTAACAAATCTCAAATATTTCTGCTACCCAAATTATAGCGATCTTGTAAGTCAATAAAACTTAGGACCAACATGAGTTCCCGTCAGACCTGCTTGAAAAGTGTGGAATCATTAAGTAGCAATGTTAGGATTGGGCATATCCTTCACAGTATAGGGACAGACTTATAGATTCCTAAGTGTGAGTTCATATTTTTAAGAACTGTCCAATCATTTAAATACCAATTCATCTGACATTTTAAATATCTGGTATTTATATGATATTAGTTTTGTTTTTTATTGTTTTTAAAATTTGATTTTACTAAATATACTTGGGTTTTTATTACCCATAGAGAATGAGTACTACAAGAAAATTCATTTCCTGAGTTTTGTTTCCGTGTGTTTGCCGTTTTCTCTCCCTACCTCTCCCTTTCCCTCTCCCTCTTTCCCTTCCCTCTCGGCCCCTCCCCACTCCCACCTTTCGTCCTTCCCTTCCTCCTTTCCTTCACTTCTTCCTTCCTCCCTTTTTACTGGGGATCCAACCCAGTGCCTTACAAATGCTAGGCAAAACTCTACCATTAAGCTATATTCCCAATCCTGTCTAAATGTATTTTTAATGCACTGCTATAAGGAAATTGACACAGTTCTTCAAAATGGAATGATCTATGCTAAAGAATAGGCAATGCAACCATCATGTCTATATCGACATATGAGTTCTATATGTACTATGTTTTTGATTGGAAGAGGGCAGTAAGGAAATGTAAAAAAAGTATTTCAAATGTAAATTGAGTAAAACTAGAAATATTTCTGCTTGAAACACCTAATTTGAGTCATTCTCATAGAAATCAGATAAGATGGCACTACATACATCTTTTACTTTCTTTTTTTCTTTTATTCTTTTCCCCTAGGATTAAAATTAAATGTATTTTAAAAGGAAAAACTAACATAATTTGGAGATATCCCAAAGAATTTTAAGTGGACAGTGGAATTATCTTTGCTTTGGTTACTGAAATTTGGAAAAGATGAAAAATATTTTTAAAATGTAACTTGTAAACAAAAAACAAACAAGGACACAAAGATACTAAATAATGCAATGAAAATATGTTTAATAGATGTATGTGTCTATCAAATTAAAGCATTTATCAAATTAAAAAAACAAAAATGTGTCTATCAAATTAAAAGCATTAAATGTCATAAATTTTTAAAAATTAGTTTTCCTCAAAAATTCTGTAATAAACATTCTCAAATAGAGAATTTTCATGGCTCTTCTTTTGATTTTGATCCAATAAAATTAGAAATGCAATTTTGAAAGACCATAAATCTTAACCACCTGTAAATTAATTAACACAGTTTTAGATAATGTTTAATTCAAAAGAATGAAATCTCTCTAGAATATAGCCAGAAACTTTAGAAAAAAAAAATCATACTAAAACTTATGATAAACAGCATAAAGCATATACAGATAAAAATTTATAACTATAAATACCTTCATTATTAAAGAACATAATAAAATAAAAGAATGTAATGAAAAATACAATAAAATATAAAAAGCTAAAACTTAAAGCTATAAAAGCTAAATCTATTAAATGGATTTAAATGACGGGAAGAATAGAGAAATATTTTCTTAAGCAAATATTTTGAGAATAATTGCAAAGTAGATAAACTTCCCATAAGGAAAAAGAGAGCAAAACCATGTAAAATAAGACATAAAAAAGGAGACAGAGTCATAGACAAAGAAAAACATTAGAAAAAATTTCTACAAAAAAAAGATTGCTACCTGAAACATTATTGGAATATATGTGAAAATTCAGAGGAACTAAATGATATTCTAGCAAAAAACTTCCAAATTTTAAGAAGGGGAAGAAGATGAGCATGGTGGCTCACATCTATAATCCTAGTACTCAGGAAGCTGAGGCAGGAGGATTTTGAGAGTTCAAGACCAGCCTGGACTACAAAGTGAGCCCAAGCCCAGCCTGAGAGCTGCATATCGAAACCCTCTCTCAGAAAATACAGAAAAAAAAACCAAAAAAAAAAAGCCAAAAAAGAAGGAGAAGAAAACCTGAAAACACCATTACCTAAGGAAAGATTGAAAAAAATTTATTTTTAAAAAAAC